TCCCCCCCCCCCCCCCCAAGCAATCGCAGCATCCCCTCCCACGAGCAATTGCAGCATCCCGCCAGCAGTCGTGGCATCCCCCACCACCTCCATTCCCCCACTATCCTTCATTCCCCTCCGGGATAAATTAGGCATAAGTTAGTAATAAATTATTATAAATACATTATAAATCCCCCCTCCACCTACCAGCTCCCCAAACATTTTTTTTTTCCCCCTTGCCCTTTTAACACAGGGCACCGCGGGAAGAATCGGGGCGAGTTTTATCTGGGGGCGATGGAGAAGGGCCCCTAATTAGAGATAGGTACCGCTGGGGCTGGGCTGGCCCCAACCGCTATCGGCTCCGTGCACGGGGCTGATATTTAATGTGCCGATATCCGCCGGGGGAGCCTGGCCCTGGGATGCTGCAGCCGGGCTGATAGGGGAGAGGGTTGATTTGTGCTCAAAAAGGTCCGTTTTCCTCCAAAACGGGGGTCCTGGGGGGGAGGGGTGTCACCCACCGCCGTTGTCCCCGGGTTCCCGGGCGACGGTGGTGGCGGGTGAGAGCCGCCCCCCAGGACCCCTGTTTTTGGAGAGCATTGCAATTTAATGCTGGATCCCAGCAGCATCAACCAAGGGGAGGGAAAAAATAACCCGCCGGATAATGTGACCTTTGAGGACCGGCGTCATTTCCCGGCCACCGAAACCTCATTTGCCCTCAGCCGCGACGCTTGGCATCCCCGATCCCCGGGGAACGGGCTCGGGGGCACCCGAGGTCGTCGGTAGAAGCGAACATTAATACGGACTGGGGAAAAATTGGGTGAGAAGAAGCGGGCTGGTGTCCCATCAGATACCGGTGGTTTTTGGATTTGCAGCCCAGGTTGTTGTCTGGGTGTTGCTTGCTGCGGGGCGGACACGGCACAACCCTCCTACGAGACCCCAGGGAATCCTCGGGCTGTGCCGGACTCCACCGAATGACCGGAGATGGTTTTGCAGCCGGTGCAAGGAAGGATCAGGAGCGGCTGCAACCCTCTCCGACAGCGGCTTTCCCTGGGGAATACCAGCCCCTGTGCCCGCTCCTGCAGCCCTTGGCTCATGGCTGCAAAATCTGGGGGAAAATAAGGAGGTTTAGGGGCAGCGGCACTGCCCCGAGGCGGTGATGCCTGAGCTGGATTCCCCGCATCTCGATTGCAAGGTGATGGATGAGCATCGTGGCAGTGCTTCATGTACCCTGAGACCCAGTGGGGAGCCTCACCCGGCTGCTTTGGGGTTTATTGGGTGGTTATTATTATTATTATTATTATTATTATTAATAT